AGAGGCCAGGTAAAGCAGGTGTGAGCAGTGGCTGGAGGGAGGGAGTAGGCTGAGGGTGTGGAGACGGATGAGGCTGAGTGGTGGCTAGCGTGTTAGTGGTGGCCGGAGGGAGGAGTGGTGGTTCGAGGGTGAGGCCTGGACGGAGGGTCTGGAGGGTGGCCATAGAGTGTTAGTGGTGGCCGGAGGGAGTGAGTGGTGGCCAGAGGGTGTGAGGCCTGGACGGAGGGTCTGAGTGGTGGCCATAGCGTGTTAGTGGTGGCCGGAGGGAGTGAGTGGTGGTTCGAGGGTGTGAGACCTGGACAGAGGGTCTGAGTGGTGCCATAGCTTAAGTTAGTGGTGGCCGGGGAGTGGGAGTGGTGGTTCGAGGGTGTGAGACCTGGACAGAGGGTCTGAGTGGTGTAAGCCAGTGGTGTTATGGCTGGAGGGAGTGAGTGGTGGTTCGAGGGTGTGAGGCCTGGACGGAGGGTCTGAGTGGTGGCAGTAGTGTGTGAGCAGTGGCCGGAGAGTGTGAGCGGTGGCCAGAGGGAGTCCACGGTGGCCAGAGAGCGTAAGCGGTGACTGGATAGTATAAGCGGTGGCCGGACTGTGTGAGCCATGGCCGGAGGTTTTGAGTGGTGGCCAAAGGGTGTAAGCGGTGGCCGGAGGGAATGAGCTCTGGTTGGAAGGAGTGGGCAGTGGCAGGAGGGTGTGAGCAACAGCCAGATGGTGTGAGGGGTGGCTGGAGGGAGTAACAGTAGTTTGAGGGAGTGAGCAGTGGCCGAAGGGTGTTAGCGGTGGCCAGAGGGTGTGAGTGGTGGCTGAAGGGTGTGGGCGTGGCCAGAGGGAGTGAGCACTGATCCGAAGATGTGGGACCTGGACAGAGGGTGTGAGTGGTGGCCGGAGGGAGGGAGCAGTAGCCGGAGGGTGTGAGTGGTCGTTGGAGGGAGTGAGCCCTGACCGGAGGGTGTGAGTTGTCGTTGGAGGGAGTGAGCCCTGACCGGAGGGTGTGAGTGGTTGTTGGAGGGAGTGAGCCCTGACCGGAGGGAGCGAGCGGTGACAGAGGGTGTGATCGGAGGCCGGAAGGAGTTGGCGGTGGCTGGAGGGTGTGAGCAGTGTCTGGAGGGAGTGGATGGTGTCCAGAGGGTGTGCGCGGTGGCTGGAGGGAGTCGGTCTTGGTCACGGGGAGTGAGTGGTGGCTGGAGGGTGTCAGCAGTGGCTGGAGGGTCACAGGAGTTGCTGAGATCTGCTGTTCCCTTCACATGTGCCGTGGCCATTTACCAATCACTCTTTTCACCAGGAGCCGCTGGTGCAAGGACGCAGTCCCCCACCTTCAACCCTCCTACTCCTAATCCTCCCTCATTAGCACCTGGGACTGGTCCAGCAGAGGCCAGGGCACCTCCAGGCAGGGATGTTGTGTAGGAGCTGGCCAAGCCTTTAAGTTATATTTTCTACAATATTATTGGTTCCCAATGCAGTATTAAAGTTGTGTACTCAGTTCCTGGAGGCCACAGAGGAAGAGGCGGGAAAAGGGAAGGGACAGGAGTGGGGGACGGAGCCCAGGACCAGAGTGCTGCTGGCCTATCGAGCTCACTCTCAGAGGAAACCAAAGAACTTCCCAGGCCTGGCTGCCAGGAAGGGCTCCGGGGAGGGCAGCCAGTCCTACTCCTCCACGGACCTGGAAACTTCCAGATCAGGTGCTATTTCCAGACCCCTAAGCAGCTGTCTCCTAGGCCTGTGGCTTGGGTGCCTCATCTCACCTCCCTCCTACTGTCAGAGCTCCCTGGAGGAAGAAGAACTGGGGAACTTGGGGGTCTACTTCCTGCCAGACCAGAGCTACTTACAGCAGCGGTACCTGGGGGTTCTGTAGTGAGAGTTGGCCCGAAAGCTAAAGCAGGAAATAGGCTCGATGGCTAGGTGGGCCTCAGGGACCACGGTCAAGGGTTTAGAGTCTGCAACCCACTTCAGCCCCAGCAGACAGGTCTTTTACCTCACTAGGAGTCAGCCCTTCAGCTGGGCAATGCTAAGAACAGTTCTGCAGCCCAGGGGCTTCCGTAAGGTTCAGGCAAGAACTCCTAAGTGAGTCCTTTGGATCCGGAAGGAGCTGCGACACCCCAGGGACAGGAGACTTAGGGCTGAGTATTCGGTTTAATCACCTCCGAGGAGCGTTCCCACATCCCCAGGAGAGGAGACCATCAGAAAAACTACCAGGAAAAGGATTTTTTAAAGTTATTTTTGGTTTGTGAAGTTATGAGAACTATGATTTCAGAAACATTCTTACTGGACTAATAGTACCTTTTGTAACTGAAAATTTTACGGAGATAATAGCAGAGTCACACACAGTCGTAACACAGAGGGAGCCCTTGTAAACGGTGCCCTGTTTTCCCTAATGATAATATTTTGCAAAACCACAGTTCAGGGTCACAAGTGGGATATTGACATTGATGTAGGCAATTCGTCTTACAGATTTCTCCAGTTGCGTGTGTGTGTGTGTGTGTATTCAGCTCTAAGATATTATGACCTGTACAGGTTCAAGTATCCACCGCTACAGTGAAGATACAGAGTAATTCCATCATCAAAAGGACCCTTCCTGTTGTTCTTTATAAAACTATACCCAATTCCCTCATGAGTGAGTGTTCCACCCCTGTCTCTAACCCCAGGCAACCACTAATCAGTTCTCCATTTCTACAATGTTGTCATTTCAAAAGTGTTACGGAAATGGAATCATCCAGTATGGAACCGTTTGGAATTGACTTTTTGTCTCAGAGTAATTCCCTAGAGAGTCATCCAAGTTGTTTGGAGTATCACTACTTTGTTCCTTTTTTTATTACTGAGTAGTATTCCATAGTGTGGCTATGCCAGTGCTTAGATAACCATTCACCTATTGAAAAACAGCTGGATGGATCCCAGTTATTGGCTGTTACAATTAAGACTGTTACAAAGGTTCGTGTTCAGGTTTTTGCATTTGTGTACAAGTATTCACTTCTGTTGAGTAAAAGCCCAGGTGCAATTACTGGGGGATTTAATAGCTGCATACTTTGATTTTTAAGAAACTGGGTCAGGGACGGTGGCTCACGCCTGTAATCCTAGCACTTTGGGAGGCTGAGGCAGCAGGCAGATCACGAGGTCCAGAGATTGAGACCATCCTGGCCAACATGGTGAAATCCCATCTCTACTAAAAATACCAAAAAATTTAGCCAGGCATGGTGGTGTGCACCTGTAGCCCCAGCTACTTGGGAGGCTGAGGCAGGAGGATTGCTTGAACCCAGGAGGCAGAGGTTGTAGTGAGCCAAGATAGTGCCACTGCACTCCAGCCTGGTGACAAAGCAAGATTCTGTCTAAAAAGAAGAAAAGAAAAGAAAGAAGGAAAGAAGAAAGAAAGAAAGGGAGGGAAGGAAGGAAGGAAGGAAGGAAGAAAGAAAAAGAAGAAAGAAAGAAAGAAAGAAAGAAAGAAAGAAAGAAAGAAAGAAAGAAAGAAAGAAAGAAAGAAGGAAAGAAGGAAGGAAGGAAGGAAGGAAGGAAGGAAGGAAGGAAGGAAGGGAGAAAGAAAGAAAGAAAGAAAGAAAGAAGGAAAGAAGGGAAGGGGAAGGGCATACAAGGAAGGAAGGGCTGGCAAAGAGATGCAGCAGCAGCAGCGGAAGAAAGAAAGAAAGAAAGAAAGAAAGAAAGAAAGAAAGAGAAAACCTGCTGCACTCTTTTCCAGAGTGGCGCCACCATTTTACATTTCCACCAGCAACACAGGAGGGATATGGTTTTCCAAACCCTCACCAGCATCTGGTGTTGCCACTGTGTTTATTTACCACTCTGATCAGTATCTCATTATGCTTTTAATTTGGATTCCCTGATGGCAAATGATGTTTTCTGCCAGCTGTATATCCTCTTTGGTAAGATGTCTGCTCATGTCTTTGGCCCATATTTTCATTGGATTGCAAAGGTCCTGAGTTTTGAAAGTTTTTATATGGTCTAGATACAACTCCTTTGCCAAATATGTAGTTTGTAAATATTTTCTCCCAGTCTGTGGCTTAACTCTTTATCCTCTTCTTATGGGCTTTCACAGAGCAAGAGTTTTGCTTTCAATGAGATCTAATTTATCAATTTTTCCTTTTAAGTATCATGTTCGTGGTGTCCAGTGGAAGAGGCCTTTGCTCAGTTTGAGGTCCCAAAGATGTTTTTCTGAAAGTTTTATGGTTTTATGCTTTACACTTTATGATGTATTTTGAGTTTTGTACAAGGTTTATTTAGATCAAGTTTCATTCCCCCCATTCCCCCCATGGAGATCTCGACTCGCTGTAACCTCCGCCTCCCGGGTTCAAGTGATTCTCCTGACTTAACCTCGGGAGTAGCTAGGATTACAGGCACCCGCCACCATGCCGGCTAATTTTTGTGTTTTTTGTAGAGACGGGGTTTCACCATGTTGGCCAGGCTGGTCTTGAACTCCTGACCTTAAGTGATCTGCCTGCCTCGGCCTCCAAAAGTGTTGGGATTACAGGCGTGAGCCACTGCGCCAGGCCTACAATTTCATTACTAAAACAATTCCACTGTAAAAGGGAAAAGAACAGGAAAGAATTAGCTCAGATACATAAGTAAAAATGTGCATACAGTTCCTTGGCTTAGGATGCTGAACGGTTGACAGTTACTGCCGTCCGTGCAAACCCAAGCAGGAGCCTCTTTAGATGGGGCCCATTTCCCCCATGAAGGACCTCGGGTGCTTTGCTCATGCAAATTTGCCATGGACATGTCTAACCGGACGAAATTCATGAGAAAAGATGCAGTTTGAAGGCCCAGATCCCTCAGGGGCAGAAGGAAAGAGGCAGGAACAGGCCTTGTATTTCCCTACTCATCTTGTTCAGACACAGACTTGGAGACTTGGATTTCAAAATAGTTGAAAACCGCTCACAGGCCCATTTCATTCTGAGACCAGAGCAGATGGAAGGGGCTTCATGAGCTCCTTCCCTTCCCCCTGCAAGGTCACAGTGGCCACCCTGTGAACCACTCTTGTCACGGCCGAGCCTTTTCCGGCCATCTCTCACTATGAATCACTTCTGCAGTGAGTGCAGTATTTACCCTGGTGGGAGGGCCCCTCAGATATGAGTAGGACCCGGATTAAGGTCAGGTTGGAGGAGACTCCCACGGGATAAGAGGGACTTTCTGAATCTCAGATCCCTCAGCCAAGATGACCTCACCACATGCCCTCTCTTCTATCAGCAAATCTGTTCATGTGGCTTGACCATGTCTGGGAAACACCTTTGCTAAAAATCAGTGGAGATTATTGTCTCAGAGGATCCCAGAACCTCCTTAGGCAAATGTTACCTAACGCTCTTTAAGCAAACAGAGCCTGCCCTATAAAATCCGGGGCTCGGACGGCATCTCATCCCTGACTCGGGGTCGCCTTTGGAGCAGAGAGGAGGCAATGGCCCCCATGCAGAACAAGGTGATCTGCGCCCTGGTCCTGGTGTCCATGCTGGCCCTTGGCACCCTGGCCCAGTCCCAGACAGGTAAGGTGTGCTTCTTCCTGCCCTGTGGGGCCACAGCCAGCTCGGGCAGCCTCTGCCGGGAGCCACTGTTTTACATACATAGTTTTGAGCACCTGTTTTGTGCCAGGTGCTGTTCTAGGCCCTGAAAAGTATATCCCATGTTACAGGATCGGCAAAAGCAGGGGGAGAATAACTAACACAGGGTGGCAGGGCCCCAGGAGGCCCTTGAGATGTGCGACGAGGAAGGTGCTGCCCTCGGTCGGGGCTGTTTTCCCGTGTTGGGAAGACTTTACAATCCTCCCAAGTGTCATGTTTCAAAGAGGAAGTGTTGGTGTGGAGTCTCAGAATAGTGCTTCCGAGTGTTCATGCCAACATTTCCCCCAGGGGCAGACCCTCCCAAGGCCCATCCAGATAGGCCCAAATGCCTGTCCCAGTGATGGCCAACTGGGAGACCCTCTTCCACAGGCCCAAATGCCCATCCCAGTGGTGGCCAACTGGGAGACCCTCTCCCACAGGTTTCTGGGCTCCTCTGGGATCCATGCTCTGGGAGTCAAAGCCATCTATCCCATGAATGCGTGGCTGGCAACCCCTCTTCCCCGGTGTTGTCAAGTGGATGGGTTGCCCTGGCTCCTTCTAGGGAGTGGAGGAAGAGCCCACTCTTGCTTCCTTGGGAAGTGTTTGCATCTCAACTCCTTTACCTGCAGAATGGATCAATGGTCTGCCCTAGGGCTGTCAGGAAATGCAGTGTGGCAGCGTCTGGGACTCGCACTTTGCCAGCTGCAGGGAGATGAATAAGTTATTTGCTGTTATTAGGTTCAGTTTCAAGCTGGGGGCAGGAGAAAGGGCTTTCCACGCTTCCAAAGCAAGGCTTTCCAGAGAGGCTTGAAGAGGGGGCGCCCAGTGGTGGTGTCCATGCCTCTACTGCCCTCCAGCCACCTCTTGATCGCTGCTGTGGGGTACGGGGCCTGAGGGTACGGGGCCTGAGGGGTGGGCTTGCGCAGCATAGAAGAGAAGCCAGCATCAGGCGGCGGTGGGAAGCCCTCAAGCCCATGGCAGGGAGCGGGGGAGCATTGGAACCTGAGAGAGGAGGTGGCCTCGGTGTACAGAATGAACCGGGTGGGTCCCCATGCTGGCCACCCCCACGCCCATCTGCCTCCGCCCTTGCCCCCCCCAGCCCCCAGCCCTGCCCCCTGTGCTGTGGGATCACAGAGGCCGCGGTTAACTCCCCTCCCCCGGCCCCACACACCCTCTGGCTCAAGGCTCAGAGCTTCCTTGTGGGTCACTCAGGTCCATGACCCTCTTACAACAGAAATCTAGAAAATTGTTATTACAATTTAGCGCATTCGCGTGTGGAAACCATTTCCATTTATTTCTGTCATGCGACAAAGCGGATGGGCAAGACAGCATCTGCTGGAGGCAGAGCACCGGGGCTGGAAATCCTCCTTCCTGAGGAGGAAACTCCCCCACCTCCCAGGATGATGATCCTCCCTCACCACGGGGCCTCTCTTGACCCCACAATGCCCTGGGGGTGGGCGATGGTCACCTTCACTTCGTGATGGATCCAGACCTCAGGAGGGCAATGTTCCCATGGAAGCTGCTGGGCAGTGGGAGGTGAACCGAGATCCTTCCCAGCAAGCCAGGAACACTTTTTCCAAAGAGAGCTTGAGGCCGTCCCCGATAGCAAAGCAGACAAGAAAGCAGCCCCTCCTGGCCTCCTCCGGGGCACCCTCACCTGAGCCAGTGTGGCCAGACGGAGCTCCTCCCCTCCTATGCCCCAAGACAGGGACAGGGACACAGACAGGGACAGGGACATGGAGGGTGCTCTGGGCTCCTCTTTCTCCGCACGCTGCAGGCTGTCAACCGCCAGATCCTAATAGGTTGCCTTCTTAGACCTTTGATTCCGCGGAGCTCTGAGTCTGAAGCTCTTGTGTTAGAACGTCTTATATAAGATCCTGTGGCAGCCCCCAGCCAGCTCCATCTGTCCACGTGTCTTCCCCCTCTAGCCCCTTTCCTCACTGCCCTGCTTCAAGCTGTTTCACAGCTCACAGCCCTCTGTCGGCTCCTCCTAGACCAACCCACCCCGTCGCCCTCTCACCTTACCTGCAATGGGCTTCCACCTCCTGAACACATCTAGGTCTCTGGAATGGCCTTTGCCCATGTGGCTTCATCTTCCCCTGGTGAATCTCCTCCTGCAGGGAGCCCCCCTGCTTTGTTCAGCCTGCTTGTCATTGGCCCCTCCTGGGAGCACTCCCTACCCCCGTGGTTACCCTGGGCACCCTGGGATGATGGCCTTGCGTTGTCTCACACATTTTCTTGCCTTTCTCCTGCATCAGATCCTCAGACTCTTTTGTTTTGTTTTGTTTTGTTTTTGAGACAGTCTTGCTCTGTCACTCAGGCTGGAGTGCAATGGCGCGATCTTGGCTCACTACAACCTCCACCTCCTGGGTTCAAGTGATTCTCCTGCCTCAGCCTCCCAAGTAGCTGGGATTACAGACGTGTGCCATGACGCCCGGCTAATTTTTTGTATTTTTAGTAGAGATGGGGCTTCATCATGTTGGTTAGGCTGGTCTTGAACTCCTGACCTCAAGTGATCCACCTCCCTCGGCCTCCCAAAGTGGTGGGATTACAGGCATCAGCCTGGCCCAGATCCTTAGACTCTTAACGACGACTTCTCTGGTTTTAATTTCTGGGTCCCTCTCACCTGGCACAGTGCCTGGCTTTTGCCATACTAGCTTCTCATGCACACAGATGGTGCTCAGTAAAATTTATGTATTGAGTAAAATTTAATAATAGTTTGTTGAAATTAAACAGTGAATAAATAAGTTACCTAGAAAGATGCAAAGTCCACAAACCCGGGGCACTTTGCATTTTCCCTGAGCGTAATGTTTGTACGTCAGGATGTGAGGACCACATCTCCCTCTCGTGTCCTGAGGGTTTCATATCTGCCTCACCGGACGGTTGCTGATGTCACTGGAGAAGGAAGCTGGATGGGTGTGTGCACAATAACATCAAGGAATTTAGCCCACAACTTACTTTGCTTCTTACCTGTGCACTTCTAGAGACATGTACAGTGGCCCCCCGTGAAAGACAGAATTGTGGTTTTTCTGGTATCACGGCCTCCCAGTGTGTAAGTAGGGGCTGCTGTTTCGATGACAGCGTTCGTGGGTTCCCCTGGTGCTTCCATCCTAACACCATCGACATCCCTCCAGAAGGTACGACCTTTTTATACCATGGGTTCTGAAGATTTAGAATTAGTTAGAAAAGCCACATAAGACTGCAGAGGCTCTGATCGGCATCACCAGCTGTGCCTTTCCCCAGAGTCGTGGCCGCAGGTGGTGGCACAATGGGGTAGCCTGAGTCAGGCTGCATTCAGGTCCGGGAATAGAAAGGCAAGGCTGAGGGGCTTGGGAAGAAACCTGATTTTTCCCCGGCTTCTCTTCACATCTCTAACCAAAAGCCTGTGAAGAGCCACTGTTGGTAATGTTTTCCAGCTTGCCTAGGATAGAGGGGGAAGGCATGACAAAATTTGAAGACAGTTCATGTATTCTTTTCTTTTCTTTTTTTTTTTTTTTTGAGATGGAGTCTCGCTCTGTTGCCCTTGAGCTGGAGTGCAATGGTGGGATCTCGGCTCACTACAGCCTCCGTCCCCAGGCTGGAGTGCAGTGGCCAGATCTCAGCTCGCTGCAAGCTCCGCCTCCCGGGTTTATGCTATTCTCCTGCCTCAGCCTCCCGAGTAGCTGGGACCACAGGCGCCCGCCACCTTGCCTGGCTAGTTTTTTGTATTTTTTAGTAGAGACGGGGTTTCACCCGGTTAGCCAGGACAACCTCAGCTTTCTAGTAGCTGAGATTACAGGCGTGTGCTACTGTGCCCAGCTAATTTTTTTTTGTATTTTTAGTAGGGACGGGGTTTCACCATTTTGGCCAGGCTGGTCTTGAACTCTTGACCTCAGGTGATCTGCCTGCCTCAGCCTCCCAGAGAGCTGGGGTTACAGGCATGAGCCACCGTGCCCGGCTGACAGTTCATGTTTTCTAAAGAATGTGCCTGTTGATAGCTTAAAGTAAAAACTCTGTAATTGCTTAAATGTGAAAGAAACTATTTATCCTCACTAAAGCATCTCTTCCTCCCTCTCTCTCACCCCTGTAGAGGAGTGTGAATTTTAGACACTTCTGCGTGGATCTGCCTGCATCCTGACGCAGTGCCATCCCCAGCACGGTGGTTAGTCCCAGAGCTCGGCCGTCATGTCCACCGGACACCTCAGACACGCTTCTGCAGCTGTCGGCTCACAACACAGATTGACTGCTCTGACTTTGACTACTCAAAATTGGCCTAAAAATTAAAAGAGATCGATGTTAATCTGTGCTTTTCATTCTTTTAAAGAATATGAATGATTTTCCTTTCTTGAAAGTGAAGCACAGCCTTTCACCCTGGGCTCTCTCTGTGGGTTCTGAGCCTTCTGGGCTTCCTGAGCTGGGATACAAGTAGGCAGCTGAGTGCAGAAAGCAGGGACGGTGGGGTGTGCAGCAGGTGCCCGGCTCAGTGCTCAGTGCTGATGCCCGAGGACCGGACCTCAGGCTCCTTCTACAAAACCAGAGTCCCCCAGAAGCAAGTCCAAGCCGTACTCTTGTCCAGTCATGAAAATGGACACCAACTCCCCTGGCATTTCTTAACTACTCACCGTGGATGCCCCAGCGACCAAGTGATACAAGTTACCTTTCCATGTATTTGCTTTCCCAAATAGAAACTGGCGTAGGAGACGAAACCCATAGCAGAGTGTCTGAAAGCATGTGTAATAAAAATTGCAGAGGGTGGCATGGGCTGACCCCTCCAGGAAAACCCCTCCCCAACCTGAGATCTGAATGAACTAGAAAATAGAACAGCAGGGAAGGGATACAGAAGCCAAAATGTCACTTTATTCCCACTGGCCCCTCTGTACCTTGGCGAGGATTGGGAGAGGGTGTCCCCCCGACCTAGTCGTCCTTGCTCCAGGGACCTCAGCTCAGTAAGCCCCAAGCCAACTGCACCCTGGGTTCCTGCTCCTCCCACCTGTCCCTCCATCTGGTGCTCTTGTGCTGGGCATCGTTGCACAATTATACTGGAGATGGGGTCCCAGGAGCTCTGGAAAACTGCTCTCTGCAGCCAGCTCGTTCCAGGGAGGAAGAGGGAGGTGCAGAATTGAGTGCGGCCAGCTCTTTCCACATTAACCAGTCCGGTAAATCATTCCCAAACCCTTGGCCACTAGGGTCAGCAGATAAAGAGGCCCGAGAGGCCAGGAGACACCCACCATGAAGAACCATCAGGAACAGGAAGCCCCCTGCTCCCGGCACACAGCAGCACACACATGAGCTGTAACAATACATGTTGTCACATATGTATCGGGGGGCCACAGACACCTCCTCTTACCTCTCAAATGTGCAAGGAAGTTTTAGCTTCTCTTTTCCATCTATGGTATGTCTGATCTTACACTCTCTGTCTGCTAATTACAGGCAAAACCAAGCTAACTATTTATTTAGTCCAATTCCTCTTAACATTCAGTTTGTCATAATAATTTGCACAGCTTCTGTCGGTCACAGTCTTTGGGGACGCATTGCTCATTCTCTTACCTCGCTCCACCCCATCTTGCCCTCTCTACCCCTGGTTGGGGGTGAAGGAGCCCCTGGGTCTGCCCATGCCCTTTGGATTCCTGCTGGCCCACTGTGGAGCAGTGGCTGGGGGTTCTCAGAGCCCAGCTGGTGTGTGGCCTGTCCCTTCTCCCCACGGTTCCCCAGTGCCCGAAAGGCAGGCTTTCCCCATGACACCTCGTAGCCGACTGTTTCCTGGCTGTCCACCATCCATTCCTTCCCTTCTTTCTTACCTAATTTGCACTCTACAAAGGAAGGGGGAAAAGGAGTTCACTTTTCTAGCCCCGCTTTTAGCCAGAAATGGCCATGCAATTCTATGTGGCCCATGAGACGTAGGGGGCATCTACTTGAATGTGAGACAGGCTTCTCCCTTGATGATTGAAGAGCGCCCTCTGGCTTCCTGGGCCAGCCCCTACAACCTGCCTTTGGGTATTGTGGAAGGTAGGTGTGATGTAGTGTTGCAGTCAGCCATTCTGTGATAATGAGGTAAGAAGGCTAGAGCCTTAATAACTCTGAGTTGCTGATTTGAGCCCCTCAACCACCTCCAGACATCATGTTAAATAAACCTAAGTGTGCTTATGGGTTAAATCACTTCCGGTTTGGTTTCCTGTTACATTTCAGTGTATTACCAAGGCCCATATCTTCCCTGTACCATAGAGCAGTGAGCCTATGACCCAGCCACGATGGCCAGGAACAACTGCTCTCACCACGGACTGCAGGTAGAGCCAGTTAACAAGGTGAGTCACTGCCTTCCTGTGGTTTCCCTGGGCCTCCACCCAGTGGAGCCTGGGCAACAGGGCAAAACTCTGTTTCTACTAAAAATAAAAAAATTAGCTGAGTGTGCGGTGCATGCCTGTAGTCCTAGTTACTAGGGAGGCTGAAGTGGAAGGATTTCTTGAGCCCAGGAGGTGGAGGCTGCAGTGAGCTGAGATTGTGCTACTGCACTCCAGCCTGGGTGACAGAGTGAGACACTGTCTCAAAAAAAAAAAAAAAAAAAAAAAAAAAAAAGAGGCGCCCTTCCACTCAGATCTGCTCAATGGAGTTACATGTCAGTTTACACTTCTCTTATAAGCTGCTCCTTGGCTTGCAAGCAGCATCCTTGTGCTGCCTCTTCCCATACTTGTCTGTCTGTGTGTCTGGGGTCTGTGTGTCCAAATGTCCCCTTCTCATAAGGACACCAGTCAGGTTGGATTAGGGCCAACCCTAACAACCCCATTGTAACTTGATAAAAGAAAAACTTGACCAGACACGGTGGCTCACCCCTGTAATCCCAGCACTTTGGGAGGCTGAGGCGGGCAGATCACCCGAGGTCAGGAGTTCGAGACCAGCCTGACCAACGTGGAGAAACCCCAGCTACTAAAAATACAAAATTACCTGGGCGTGGTGGCACATTCCTGTAATCCCAGCTACTCCAGAGACTGAGGCAGGAGAATTGCTGGAATCCGGGAGGCGGAGGTTGCCATGAACCAAGATTGTGCTACTGCACTCCAGCCTGGGCAACAAGCATGAAACTCTGTCTAAAAAAAAAAAAAAAAAAAAACAAGAAAAGAAAAGAAAAAAAAAGAAAAACTTCAGTTGAATTAAATTTAAAGAAGTTTAATTGAGCATCGAACCATTCACGAATCGGGCAGCCTGCTGAATCAGAGTAGGCTCAGACTCCAGCATGGTCATGTGGTGGAAGCAGATTTGTGGACAGAGACAGGAAAGTGACGCACAGAAAACGGATGTGAGGCAAGGAAACAGCCGGACTGGTTACAGCTCCGCCTTTGCCTCACTTGAACTAACTTCGGACAGTTGGCTACATTTGATTGGTCAGAACTCGATGATTGGCACAAGTGTAGGCTAAGGTCAGTTTACGCCTCCACCCATTATAGTTCACGATGTACAGAGAAACCGTTAGGTCAAAGTTAAAATATGTAAGGGGGCAACTTCAGGCTAAACCTGATTTCACAATTTTAATCACCTCTTTAAAGGTGATTAAAGACCCCTTTTCCAGATATGATCCCATTCTGAGGTGCTGGGGGTTCCGGCTTCAACATAGAAGAACACAGTTGGGCCGTAACAGTGGTATTTGTTACCTGCAACCAAGGAGCCCCGGCCAATGCAAATAATTAGAGTGCCGTCACCATTGTTCACCATTGTTCACCACTGTGTGAGGCGAGGCAATTCTGCTGTGGGTGACAAGAAAACAAAGTGAATTTTGGGAAACTGGAGGTGTGTCAAGTGCATATGGGGGCACACATTCGTTACGAATGTTCAAGGTGGACAGTGAGGGAGTGGTCCCCCATGAGAAATGCTATGTGGTGAGAAGGATGGAACCAACAAGAACGTCAGTAGGGAGAGAAAAGGACAAGAAGGCTGCATCACAGGGAACCGATGGTGCACTCTAGGCTGACAACTCCTTCAGCCCTGAACCAGCATCTCATGGTGACCGCCCTGTGTGCTTGGCCCTGGAAATATGCAGTAAATATGGGCTGCTCTGAGGATCATGTGGGGCTGTAGCCGGGCTCAGGAGCCCTCACCCAGAATCTCTTAGAAGAAGCAAGAGCATGTGTTAGCCCCAGGCTCCCTCCACCTCCTGGTCCCCAGCTGAGATCTCCATTACCATGACCCTGGTGGAGAAGGTGGAGAGAAGAAGAGGACGCACGACTGCCTCGTGGCCAGAATTCAGGCATGCGGTCCTTTTACCCTCCCACACCTCTATGAGGTGTTCACCTCCTCTTTCCCTCATTTTCCACTACGTGCTGTCAATCAATTTAATAAATAGCAGGTTTCACACCTTAATTTGGTCTGCGCACCCCTTTGTTCTACCACTGGCCATGTACTCGGAGACCACAATTGCTTCTAGATAATTTCCCACACAATAGGGTTCTGTTCAGGGCATG